GCTCTCCACAGCCTGGCAGGAGGCCTGGAAGGACCCACGTGGGCTCCCTTCCGGGTGTGATGTGTGATATAGAGGCAGGGAGACAATGCGAAGTTGTCACCTCACTTCAGACGATGTGTGATATAGAGGCAGGAAGACAATAGAAGTCCAGACTAGGCCGAAGAGCCCTGGGCTCTCAACCAGGCCAGACTCCCCCTGCTGCTTCCTCCCGGATATTCACTCCTTCATGGAACATTTACTGAATACCTCACCTGAGCCAGGCACTAAAAATACCATAGGATTTATGACCTGAACTGGGACAGTTTGGGAAGGAGAGAGAACGCCAGTAATAATATGCAGGGATAACCGACGTGACCAGGACTTTTCCTGGGATCTTGGCCTGGAAAGTTCATGCAGAGCTGCACGTGGCCCCGGCTCCCGGCTATAATCAGAAAGACCGGTGTGAGCCCCAGAGGGGAAGGTGACGTGGGGGGACAGGCAGAGGGAACAGAAGCAGATGCGGGCACAGAGGGTGCAGGGAGGAGAGTTTGACCTTGACAGTGGTGGAGACACACAGAGGGTGGCGTCTCGAGGACAGGGTTGGCCTTTCGGGTATATGCGGGTGGGCAGTGAGGATGCTGGCATCTCTGGCAGGGAAATGCAAGGGGGCCCACAGGAGCTCCCGGGTGCATTCAGGAACTTGTTGGTTGCCTGATGTTGATACAGGACAGGGAGGCAGAAGTTGCGGCCAGGGACTTGGGAGGTGGCAGTGTGTGTGTGTGTGGGCAGTGTGGATCTAGGCACTAAGAGTCCTGTAGGTGAGTGGTTTAGACTTAACTGCGGGCAATCCAGAGTCACAGGAGCACGTTTCAAGACTGAGAACGTCACCGAGGCACTCAATCCTCTAAACCTTCAGTGTGCTCATCTGGAAGACATTGCCTTCACACCACCTGGGCTCACTGAGAACATGAACCAAGAATAATCATGAAACATTCTGCAAGAAGACCAAAGTAAGGCCGGAGGCTGTCATTCTTCCATATTCCACACTTCACAACCGAGGCTTCTGCACAGCTGGAGATGCAGAAGGCAACACAATTTCAGGAGTAGATTTAGCCTAAAGTGGGTCCCCCTCCTCTCACAAGGAAAATGAACTTGGGAGGTGGGTGCCCTCTCGTCCCTCCCGAAGCCCACCTCTGGTCCCCTTCTGTCTGCTGCCCCCTTGGTCTGGCTGGGAGCAGAGCTGCTCTGAGAAGGAGGACACCATGCAATACGTGAGGACCAGGGGCAGAGGCCAGCGACACTGTGTCTGCCCGACCTCCCATTCCTGACAGTGGCCTTCCTGTGCCCCTAACACCTAGGCAGCGCCCCGCCCCAGGGCCTTTGCACTCATTCCACTCGCTGCCAGTCACGTGTCCATCCCAGGTTTGCTCCCTCACTTACTTCATGTTTTTACTCAACAGTCACCTTCTCACTGGGCCCTTCTTCATCGTCCTGTCTCCTTCATCCCCCTTTCCTGGTTTTTCTTTTTTTTGAGACAGTCTCACGCTGTCATCCAGGCTGGCGTACAGTGATACAATCTCAGCTCACTGCAACTTCCGCCTCCTGGGTTCAAGTGATTCTCTTGCCTCAGTCTCCCGAGTAGCTGGGACTACAGGCGTGGGCCACGACGCTGGCTAATCTTGGTATTTTTAGTAGAGACGGTGTTTCACCAGGTTGGTCAGGCTGATCTTGAACTCCTGACCTCAGGTGATCCACCCGCCTCTGCCTCCCAAAGTGCTGGCATTACAGGCATGAACCACTACACCTGACCCCCTGATGGTTTTTCTTCTTCACACTCATCAGCATCTAAATGTACTCAACATTTTTCTTACTTACATTACGGCTATGGTCTGTCTCCTCCACAGTAACATAACGTGAATTTCACAGGTATGGGGATTTTTTCCTGTTTTTGTCGGCTGTGAGTAACCCAGGGAACTGAGGAGTGCAGGAGGCAGCCAGAAACGTGTGGTGGTTGAATAAATGAATCTGTCCTTCCCATTTTGGAAGAGGGGTATTGAAACCAATTGTAGTATGAATTCACACAACAGCGAAGATTTGATTTTCCTTTATTTGTGGCACTAAAAGACAAATAGTAGATAGCTGTAATGAAGAGCAATTGGCTGGTAGGTCTTGCCTCACCAAGCGTTTAGCAACGTTCATCAGTGACCGCAGAACACCTTCTATTCTACCTGAGGCCCAGATCTGAGATCGCTGTGAAACATGAAAGTGACCTCACCATCCTTGCTTTCTCACTCAGATACAGATTTTATTTCATAAATGCATCTTGATTACTATTACTTTGTGTTTTTTTCCCAATATAACAAAATGTTTTAGAGATACACATATGAAAAACTATGGCTGTAGTTAAATCTCATTATAAATACTGGTGACTGAGCACCATGTGCTAGAAGACCACGATATAATACAAAGGGAGCCAGTGAGCTGTTGGGCAAATGCATCAAGGCTGAACCAAAATTGTGACACTCTCAGTGCAACTTTGATCTGAACTCTGTGACGGGCGGGCATCCAACATCCCTGCTCCTTGGCCGTCTGCAGGATTTCACAAGGCTCCCAGGGAAGTCACCAGGCTCTGTGCACAGGCACGCTGGGGAGGCCGATGCCACTTCATAGCCTGGGGAACAGCTGTCCATGTGGGGCACTGCCCATCCACTCCAGTGGTGTTGTGACCTCAGCCACCCACCACCCTTGGTGGACTCAGACGTGCCCTGGCCACAGGATCACACAGGACTGTTTTCTGGGTGGTAATAGTTGATTTTTAAAAGTTTAGTTGGTTAGATCATGACTGTGACCCTCCATGAAGTGGTAGCTCCAAATATTTGAGGAAGAAGAATCCAGTGGTTTGATTACCTAACAAAGTCACCTTTGAAAAGCCTCCCAATGTTGGTTTTGTTTTTTTTTTTTTCTTTTTTTTTCTTTCTTGCTAGCAAAACTCTCAGCGTCATGGAGCATATCACGTTCAGGTTGTTCCAATGGATTTATACATATTTTTCTAGAATTCAAAAGATCTTAAATCAGTAAGTGGTTTCATCCATCTGTATGTGGTAAAAGTCTCAGAAGTCCAAAATCAGTCTAAGGCATGATTCTTTTCACTTCGCTCATAAATATAATTAAGTGTGAGTGCCGGGTTCCAGCATTTATATTCCCATCAACCTGCCAACAAGAATCGTTTATTGGCAACTTAAGATATTCAGAGGCAAAACACATTTCCTTGGCACACGAGCTGCGCAGCAACGCAGCGTCTCCTCCTTTCCTTTTGATTCCTTCCAAAATCAACTGCGCGCATTTTGGCCTGTAGACAAGAAAGTCACACCAAAACTCGATGTTCCTGGCTATGTAGACTCCTTGAGTGATGCCTGTGGGCGTCTTACAGGTGGGTTTCTGCAATTCTCTGGCCTCTTCATTCACACGAGCAAGGGCACCTGCAGGGAAGAGAGATTCGCAGTTATTTGGTATCTGTCAAGAAGCCCCGGGTGCAGCTCTTCCAGTGGTAGAGAGCTCTGTGCACAGCCACGCTTGCCACAGAACTCCTGAAACCTACTGACACTTTACACTGACACCCATGCTACTTATTGTCCCAACTAATACATCTTTCTGAAACAAATATACGCTTAGGGGCTTTCAGTGACAGCAGGAAGTCACCAGAGAGTCCACAGACATACCTGCAGGTCCCTGCCATTTTCGCAGACCCATCTGTTGCCCGTCCCTCCCTCTGGTCCCCTGGCCTGCTAGAGTGTTTGGCAGGTTTGTCTCCTGACACTGGAGTCGGGGCGTTTCATGGCAACAGTGACGGCAGACTCACCACCCCATCCCCGGTGCACAGAGCTTCCTGAGTACTGCGTAATATGTGGCGTGAATGAAGAAATGCCAGCTCACAAGTTCCTATTCCGTGTGATGCGAGGCTCAGACTTCCACTGTGAGTTCAGCCCTGCAACCTGACTGCAGAAAATTGACTTGTGGAATTCTGAAGGAAAAATCCCCTGCCTCTAAAGGCAAAAATCAAACCATGTTTTTAAGAAGAGGGATGGATTCACGTCAAGCCGAGTGAAGAGAACACTGATTTGTCACTAGCATTTCATCGAGTTCAGCACATTCTAAACTTAGCTGTGCTATGACTTGGGCAGCATGTGCCATTTTTCAGTGTTATCAAAGTGAACATCCAAGGATACGTATATGTCTTGACACCAACCACCACCAGCACCACCGTCACCACCCCCACAATTACCACCACCATCACCACTGCCACCACTGCCACCACCACCACAGTTACCACCATCACCACCACCACCACTGCCACCACCACCACAGTTACCACCACCACCACTGCCACCACTGCCACCACCACCACAGTTACCACCATCACCACTGCCACCACTGCCACCACCACCACAGTTACCACACCATCACCACCACCACCACTGCCACCACTGCCACCACCACCACAGTTACTACACCATCACCACTGCCACCAGCACCACAATTACCACCACCATCACCACTGCCACCACTGCCACCACCACCACAATTACCACTACCATCACCACCACCACCACTGCCACCATCACAATTACCACACCAACACCACTGCCACCACCACCACAGTTACCACCATCACCACTGCCACCACCACCACAGTTACCACCACCACCACTGCCACCACTGCTACCACCACCATCACCGCTGCCACCATCACCACAATTACCACCACCACTACCACGTGGAAAGTATCTAGAATCTTTCCTGTGTGCCTGCATGTGCCAGACACCATTTAAAGCATGACACAAGTCCACTCATTAAAACATCAGCTCAAACAAACAATTTATTACTGTCATTATTACGCGTGTGTCTCCAATATAAAGACGAAGAAACTAAAGTTATAGAGGGTAACTCGCCTCACATCAAATGCTAGTCAGTCACGATCCTTCCAGGCCATTTGAGCAGAGGGCACCCACACAGCCCAATAGGCAGTGTCCTCTGTCTGGACCGGGACCCCAGGGCCCACCTCCCAGTTCCCTTGGCCTTGGGGTCTCTGGATCCTGCTAGTCATCCCTCCCTGGCAGCCTTCACAAGGAAGCTGGAGTGTGAGAAGGTCTGTGAGGACAGCCCTGAACACAGCCTCCTTTCTGCTGCATCTTCTCTGAGCCAGATGCGGACGCTCCCCTGTGCATGCTCTCTCACGCATCCCTTGCATCAGTCTTACAGATGAGGAAGTGAAGCCCCAAAACCCAGAAGCACTGGGAAGACGGACACCACTCGGGCCTGTCTGACACTGGGCGCACTTGTCCTTTTCCTGAAGCTCCTCCACGTCCCTCTCTTCTCTAGGTTCCCTTGGGCCCTCTTCCTGGACTCCCATGGCAAGGGATTTAATGTCTACTTCAAGCCTGTCCAGTACACGGCCTGGGACCACTATAAATGTGTCCCAACACAAATTTGTCAACTTTCTTAAAACATCATGAGATTTTTTTGCAATTGTTTTTTAATCTCATCAGCTATCGTTAGTGTATTTTATAAGTGGCACAAGACAATTCTTCTTCTAGGATGGCCTAGGGAAGACAAAAGATTGGATCCCCCTGATCTACTTGTACAAATGCAGTGCCCCACTTAGCCAGACGTTTCCTGAGGGCCCCACTTATTAATAGGGGGAGTGTTATGGTCTGAATGCTTGTGTGCTCCCAAATTCACGTGCTGAAATCCTGACCACCAAGATGGTGGTATTAAAGGTGTGACTCTGTGATATGATGGTCATGGGGGTCAAACCTCACGAAGGGATTGATGTCCTTATCAAGGAGGCCCCAGGGAGCCTGTCTGCCTTTCCATCACGTGACGCGATGGACAAGACCCACGGAACTCATGATGTGGAAGGGGAGGCAAGCATGCAACAAAGGCCACACCAATTGCAGAGAAATTAGAGCTGCAGTTTGCATTATGCAGGAAAAATGATGTGACGCCGTCCTGGAAACCTAATCTAGACTGAGGGAGGCTTTCTAAAGACATGAGGTTAATAAAGGGGCAAAAGGATGAGTGAGGAATGAGCTGGTCGAGTGTGAGGAACAGTTTTAGAGGAGTGGAGAACAGCATTTGCTGGCCGAGGGCGGTCACTGGGGTAGGGGTGCTTCTCGCAACAGGCTTCCCCCGTGCTACTGGCAGAAGAGGCAGCTGACTTGGTAGAGTTGCAATAGGCAGAAGAGTCACATGCAAAGTCTATCAAGGCAGAACTGACCCGTGCCTCCGAACAATTCCACCTTAACCAGAGCATACCACAGGTTTACATCACGAGCAGCCAAACCCAGGGGTGGGCAACAGCACTGTGGGTGACATTCACGTCCTGATAGAAATCACCATTCCCCGGTCACAGCAACTGGGAGTTCTCTAACGCACACATGAAGACCTGGGGCTTAGACGAAAGGAGAGCTGCTGCGTTGTTTCTCTTTCCCGGCTTGGGGCCTCCTGTTACTGTCACATGTCTAATCATTTCTCACAAGGTCTGTGGTCAAGGCCAAGTGTCCTGACACATGTGGCCCACATCAATTAACTCCTGCCGTGGGAAAACAGGCACCTGTGAGGGTCCAGACAAGAGACCGGAGCTTGGATCACTGGCACATTTCCCAATGCAGCGAGGAGCTGATAAGGTGTCTGGGCCCAGCAGCAGAAGGACCTACGGAAGGGCTGGGGGAAGTCACTTACGACGTCTGTGCCCCATTTTTGCACCTGTCAAAGGGGAGCTGTGGCCTTGACTTCCAGGAAGGTGTTGGGGTAGATGCTTGCTCTGCTGCCCTCTGGGGAGGAAAGATCCACTTAGTTGTGCTATGAGTCCTGGAACCCAGGAGTACTGTCCCCTCTGTCATCAGGATTAGCCCACCTCAGGTTCTTTTGAAAAGCTACTAAGGCTGACAACAGACTCCAGGTCCCGCCCCCTTCCTCTGGCTGAGAGCTCCCGAGAACACAGATGATGCGTCTCACACAAGCAGCTCCAACAGTGCCCAGACCCTGGTAGGTTCTCCGGAAATGCTTGTGGAACGAAGTACTAGACATGAATGTTTTACATATACACATGGATTAGGAGGGTACTTGTACATTCCGGGCCTTCTGAAATAATGCACTTAAAACAGAGACAGACGCATACAGCCGTATCTTTCATAAGTAGAAGCAAGCGCTGAGTATGGGGTGGGGTGGGGGCAGATCTGAACACTGCCTTTGGTAGGAGTGGGTGTGCCACTGAGGAAGTGAGCACACACGCAGCAGAGCTGCAAATGCTCTTATTTGGAGCCGGAGGAAAAACTCAGCTGGGAGTTTCTCTGACAGTCACAAATACAGAGGCAGAGACATTATTGGATTCACACCATGAAGGCAAATGTAATTTCAATTGCCTTGAAAAATGGCAAAGTCACTGTTAAGGTAATTATTCCTCCCACATCAAATTTATCCTTTTGTATATGATCATGGGCAGCGGGACTGCCAATGTGAAACTTGTGTATTACAGGTTGGGTGACCAATCGTCCAGCTTGCCTGCGACTGTCCCAGAAAACCTTCCCAGCACAGCTGAGCACCCTCATTAAAAGGAGGCGGCTGCACTGCTAAGTGGGGGAGGAGAGCCTGCAGACTCACGCACTCCAGCCCTGGGAAAGCCAGGGACACCCCTCTGTCCCACGATGTGCTCCCAGCAATGCCGTTCTGGAGCCCTCGCTGAACACCCAAAAGAAGACCCAAGAAACCCTATGTCTACTAAGAATCTACAGAGAACCAACCCACACTGTACCACCTGGGAGCCCCTGAATTTACTGTATTTTCCTCAAGTTTAGCATAGCTTTTAAAAGTTTTCTTTCTTTTAAAAATGTCATTTGTTATTTTTTTAAGAGACAGGATCTTGCTCTGTCACCCAGGTCGATGCCAGCACAGTGGTCTGATCATAGCTCACTACAGCCTTGAACTTGTGAGCTCGAAGAATCCTCCTACCTTCACCTCACAAGGAACTGGGACTACAGGCCCATGCCACCACACCTGGCTCATTTTTACTTTTTGTAGAGACTGGGGGTCTTGTTATGCTGCCCAGACTCGTCTCAAACTCCTGGCCTCGAGCAATCCTCTGGCCTCAGCCTCCCAAAATGCTGGGATTACAGGTGTGAGCCACCATGCCCAGCCAGCATAGCTTTAAAAGTCCAAAAGGTGAAATAAAAACTAAATCATAAAGAGACGAAGCCCATATGATTTGATGTTTGCATGCCAAAATATACACCAAAGTGTATTTGCTACAAAGAAAATATAACCTCCAGGATCCATGCACAGCAGAATAGTGCCATCTAACCAGGCTTGTTAGGAAAATTGTAATTCATTCCCCGAATTGCAAATGTTTCTCGTGACCACAGGTCTACTCTCACCACAAATGAGCAGACAGGGTAAACTGCTAGGACATGTAGTCAGTTAACGCCTGCAAGAGAAAGAATCATTGGTCCAGGTGAGGCCACCTTGGCCCTCTGCGCCTGCGTCTCCCTGATGAACGCTGAACAGAGGCCAGGAGGGCAGGTCGACCACCCAATTCCTGTCCTAGGGCAGGTTTTCTTCAGCAGACTTTCTGTGGTTCTGTGATAACGCGTCACGTGCAGGAAGGCTCTGCGGTCACTGGGCCTGGCACTCCCATGGTACTACAATGAGACTCAGGGAGTGTGGTTTCCAAAGTAGGACTTAGCCAGGAACTCAGGGCCCAGCTTTCAGCCCTGGAGCATCTTGTAAACAGCTCAGGGCATCAAAACCTCAGAAATGCCACATAAATATTCATTACCTAGAACTTTCCAGGGTGGATAAGGCAGGTCACACGACTCAGACTAATCCAAGAAACAATAAAAACCTGGACTTTTGAATGCCCTTTGAAGCAGCTGACAGATGGCTGAGACTGGGCAAGAAACCCAATCCCGGCTCCCACCACGGCCAGCACTTTACAGCCGAGGTCACCTTTCCTCCAAGCACTCCTGGGTCTCGTGTGGCACCAACGCCCACGGCCTCGTCCAGGCCCAGCCTCTCTCTCTCTGTGGCCTGTGCATATTTCCCCGCTTTTTTTCTCACAACACAACTTCCTCTGTTCTTTCAGGCCATTCCCAAACTTATTATTATTATTTTTTCCTTTCTGTAAGGCAGAGTAACGCACTCTCAGAAGCAGAAAGTCCTAGTGTTAAATTTGTCTCCTCCACTTACTAGTTGTGGACCTCAGGCCAGGTTTCAGCCTCTCTGGGCCCCAGGCCCTTCATGACTCTGCACAAGATGGAGAGGGTAAAAGAAAAAGATCCAGCAATCAGTCACTGAGATGACTTTTATAAAGCAATGAGTACAGTGTGCGGTCATGGCCTTCACGGAACCCCAGTCAGTGTAATTCAAAATGCACGAAAGGCTCAAATGAGATAGACAATTGTCTCCAACCTAAATGTAAAGTCACTTGGAAAGCACTGGAAAATTGCAGATTTGTAGGCTGAAAAATATGATTCAAGATGGAGATGTCCCATGGCCTTCACATTGAGAAACAGTTTTAGAGACTCAGAAATGTACCCTGGGATCAGTAGAATGACAGAGCTGATCCCAACCTCACAGCTTCATACTCCTCCAGAGAGGCTTCCAACGATCAGTCCTTGAAATCGGTGGCTGCCATGTGTCTGGGGCAGAGAAGATGCCTCAGAGCTGCACGCAAGAGCTATCTTCAACAGAATTTGTGCTTATTTTTATGACCTGGCTTTAGCCATTCACCCCAATTTCTTCACTTTTCCCTCATTTTACATAAGTACATACATTCAGCAACACATAAATTCCATAGAAACAACAAAAGCATAAAGAAAACCAAAGAGCCCTAAGTCATTTTTAATTGCCATCCGCCCGTCCTGAGGAGACGGTATGAAACTTGCCACATCCCTTGCCATCTTAAGGACATTTTTCTCCCCAGCATCCTGGGGTGGGCTGTGCATTCAGTGACGACTGGCAAGATTCTTTGTTGGCTGATGTCTCAGGGCAACATCACACAGCTATGAATGCCTCACTCTCAAACCGGGACAAACTCTGGGGAGCTGACCCAACAGCTATCACAAATGGCCCCTGCGGAGCTCAGAGAGCCACCAAATCAGTGGGTGCTCAGGCTGTTCTCATACAGGATAACAAAGTTGCGACCTCTGGGTGTCCGTGGGGACCCATTCCTCAAGGGACTGCCTTTCGCAGCAGGGCTGCCTGCAGGGTGTGGGGCACCTGGAGAGCTGTCTCCCTTCTCCATGGTGCCAGCAGTCCTAAGTGACAGTGGCTCACTCAGCGTCTCCTGGGTTGCCTGCTCTCTACAAAGCACACAACTTGTGAGTCAGAGATGAGTACTTCCTGTGCCCAAACTCATCCATGTCTGAGTCCAGGCCCTGTGTGGCCAAGCCAAGCAACTCATTCCTCTGAGCCTGGCCTGCTTTATATAGAAAGTGAGGATAGGGGCCGGGCAAGGTGGCTCATGCCTGTAATCCCAGCACTTTGGGAGGCTGAGGCGGGAGGATCATGAAGTCAGGAGATCAAGGCTATCCTGGCCATGGTGAAACCCCGTCTCTACTAAAATATAAAAAATTAGCTGGGCGTGGTGGCATGCACCTGTGGCCTCAGCTACTCAGGAAGCTGAGGCAGGGGAATCACTTGAACCCAGGAGACGGAGGTTACAGTGAGCCGAGATCACACCACTGAACTCTAGCCTGGCAACAGTGTGACTCCGTCTCAAAAAAAAAAAAGAAAAAGAGAAAGTGAGGATAATCTTTAGCACCAACCCCTTGGGTACAAGTGAAAACATAACCTTAGGATCTGGAAATAATCTCTCAGGAAATAAAATCTATTTCCAACCTCCCAGTTGCTAACATAACTCCCCACATCCACTAGTGATGGGCAGGGATGGAGGGTCAATCCGTTTACTGAATCATGTCAGAATTGAAACAGGTTTCAGAAGCTATCTGGCCCGAGCAGCCCTTTAATCTGGGAATTTCACTGCAGGGGTCACAGATTCCACAGCCTTCAGGGGCCAGGTGGGCAGTAAAGTGCAGACCAGCACAAGTCCAAACTGCGAGAAGCTGGGGAGATCCAGAAAGTGCATGCTCTGCCCAAGGGACTTCAGATTCCATAACAGTCCAACATTAGGCTGGAATGCAAGCACGTAAGATTGAATGAAAGAATAAATGAATGAATAAGGCTGGCTGCCTCCGTGCAGGCTGAGCACGGTGAGTTTGTGATGTGTGCTCCGTGGGACCCAAAATGGGTGATCTTCCATCCTGTCCCTGGACCGGTGGAAACTTTGGTTAGGGTGGGACCGTGCTTGGGTTAGAGTGGGGTTTAGATTCCACCTATCACCATCACCAAGCAGCTGGGGAGTGCAGCTGGCACCTACCATGTGGGAGGCTGACTTTCTCACCTGCAGATGGGAGCCTGCATCTGCCACGCTGGTCAGTACACGTGAGGGACACAGTGACTCTGGCTCTCCCCTACCCCACTTGCATCTGACCCATCCCACGGCTCCTGCCCACAGGCAGGCGTGTCCCTGGATCTGCACTGCCCCACCACCCCTCTGGCCCCACAGAAATGCATGTGCACAGTTGCCATCACCTTTCTCAGTCTTGCAGCCCCTGTGCCGGAGCGGATGGCATCCATCAAGGCTTGCCTTGCGTCTGCGCTGTTGCCAAGGGTGCCCGTGCTGAACCTGGAGGCCGTTGCTGGTGTGCAGAGGCCCTGGGAGGGTGGAGGCGGTGGTGGGGGCAAGGCTGGTGGCGGCGGAAGGCCAAAGTCTTCCGGCGGAGGACTTTCCAAGCCCTGTGCACAGAGTGCGGCATCTCTGAAGCTCCGGAGCTCTTCAGAGGCAGAGGATGACACCTGGCAATGAGAATATGAAATGACTACTATCGAGTGAACATCTCCCAAAATTCAGGTGTGAAATCCCAGCGCCCAAGTGGTGGCATGTGGAGATGAGAATTGGGGGTGGTGGCTAGGTCATGAGGCGGAGCCCTCATGAATGGGATTAGTGCTCTTACAAAAAAAGGCTCCAGGGAGCTCTCTCACCCCTACTACCATGTGAGGATGCAGAAAGGTGCCGTCTATGAACCAGAACGTGGGCCCTCATGAGATACTGAATCTGCCGGGGCCTTGATCTTAGACTTTGAGCTTCTAGAACCGTGAGCGATAAAATTCCGTTTATAAGCCACCCAGTCTGTTGGATTCTGGTACAGCAGCCCAAACAGACTAAAGCGGTGACACTGTCCCCAAAGGTTCTTTCTGAGAGGGCAGCACATGGCTGGTTATCTTAACTTTGGACCTGAGACAGTTCTTTTGCAATAAGCCCAGGAAGTCTGTCTTCTCCGTGGCTGAGACATCTGCCCCCACGCTCTGTTGGCAGCCAAGCCACTGATCCCAGAGACCAGAAGTTGGCAGTCCTGCCTTACTGAGAACTCTCCGACCTCATGACTTTTCTTGGCGTATAAGAATAGAAGTAGAAGCTGGACACGTACATCTGACCCATTATTGGGGACAAGATATGTACTCAGAACCTAATAAGTAATGTACGAGTCACGTTGTTTCTCAATTGCTGTGCATGGAAACTAAGATGAGACCATTCTGCCCCAAACTCAAGTACATACTGGCCCCAGAGGTTGTGCGAAAACCAGCGCGCTATTCATGAAACAACATTTTTCTAGGTGCGCGGTGGCTTCAATCTGGCTGTCCGGTTAGGGAAGCCTGGATACCATGCTAGGTGTCCAGGTGAATTTGGAAAAGTGCTCAGTTCTAGGCACAGGAAGGAACTGTGCTTCAGCAAAGGCTGAGAGAGTCTCTGGAAGCTCTCACTGTTCCTTGGCAGGGGCTGCCCCAAAACCCTGGAGCAGCGTGTCCACTCCAGTGTCCCAGGCAGGCTGGGTTCGCCACTCTGAAGACGGGTGGTTCCCATCCACTAGAAAGAACAGAAGCTTCTGCAGCTCCAGGTCCATGGGGAGAAGGGGTGATTGGGTTTAAGCTCCTGGCCCCAATGGAAGGCCCTTCACCTCTTACCTTCCTCAGGCCGCAGGTGCCGCTGTGCCCACGGATGGCCGCCAGCAGTGCAGATCGCTCGCCCTCTGCCTCCATGTAGGACAGTTTCACAGGCCTGCCCTCCGTAGTGTGTTCTGCTGTCTAGAATATTTACAATGTCACATATTTCACTGAGAACATGGAGAAATGCAAAGTGTAAGGCAGCTCATAAGAAAACCCACTCATGGGCCAGGTGCGGTGGCTCATGCCTGTAATCCTAACTACTCGGGAGGCTGAGGCAGGAGAATCATTTGAACTGGGAGGTGGAGGTTGCAGTGAGCCAAGAATGTGCTACTGCACTCCAGCCTGGGCCATAGAGCAGGACTCCGTCTCAAAAAAAAAAAGAAAAAAGAAAAAAGACACTCATGTCAGCTGAAGCATACAGGGTCAATTGGACACCCCTGCCTATGAGAAGGCAGACAGAAGAATCAAAGACTGCACAACTGGGGTAGTTTCAAACAACTGCCTGTTAATGGCAGACCATTCCTGCTGTTCATCCCAGCGTTCCGGAGCAGATGTGTGTGTTTACATCTTGCAGACCCAGAAGAGAATCCAGAGCCCTCACTAGCTAGTGCCTGACCTTGGACCAGGCCCCTTGGCCTCATTGTGCCTCAGTTTCCTCATCTGCACAATGGAAAAAATATCCCCTCATTATCAGCGTTGGTGTAGCATTTAAATGAGATAATACTTGTGGCATGTTAAGTGCCTAGGCAATGGGCAAGGCCTGTCCTAAAATTACTCCTGCATTACTGAAGAATGACAGTTCGCTGCTGCTGCAAATGCATATGGGAAAGAAGTGACCCATGTGCATTTGAATTTTCTCCCCCGTTCCATTGTTCAAGGATGATCATACACATGGTCCTGCCCCGGCCTCTCTACTCCTCTGGCCCTGTGGATGGACATTACTAGCTGTCACCTTTCCCAGAGGGCAGCCAGGGGCCAGAAGCCAGTGTGATTATCCTCACACCCATGCATTTTGGCCCTTTAGTAGTTGAGTACAAATATCTGGAGGAGTACGATGGGAATTCTAGTTAAAATGGAACCTATGTGGTATTCCTCACTGTTATCCTCAACCTGCCTCACCCCTCTGCTCCATGCTGAGACTCTGAGCCCTGCGCACTGAAGCAGGCAGGTGTGGAAGGCCTGCCCAGGACGCTCCTGTGGCCTGCTGGAGGCTGCCATCCTCACCTTGCGGAGACTGTCCTTCCCTCCAGCGGAGTGGATGGCTTCCATCAGGGCAGAGTGCAGGGATGTGTCTTTGGGGACTGGTCTCTGGACAACAGGTTTGAATTTTTTCTTTGGCCCAAAAATGGTGGGTGGCCAAATACTGTCTGTTTCATTTCCATCTGTAGAGATCACACTGGGCTTTTCCTCTCTTTCTAGGAGAATGCGGCTTTCTGTGCCAGACCCTCCTGGAGGGTGGGAAGGCTCACCGCAGCCTGGGGCACACATGGAGCCATTGGGCAGCTCCCTGCTGCAGGCCTGGGCATCCAACATGCATGGAGGGGGCAGGTCTGTACCGTCAGGTGCGTGTCTGGGCTCAGATGCTGAGCTGGCCTCCTGCTTACTTGTGCTTTGCTTTCCACTGAAACCACAGCTCTGTCCCACAGAAACACGGTCCCTCTGGGAAGACTGAACCAGTGAGAAACAGGAGCTTCTGTGGACAGCAGCATGACCGTCCTGAGTAGGCAACTTCCTGTGTGGGTCACTGACCTCTCCACTAGGAGGGGCTCCCACTGCTGAGTCTTCCCTGTGGTTGTCGGGAAGGGTGACACAGGGCCGCTGGGCACCATCCTTCCATCCTTGTGTCTCTGAGTGTGGGCTGGAGGTCCTGTCATCTTTCACAGTGACAGGCGGTGCAGCCAGCACTGGCACGGTGCCCGCATAACCCTTCTCAGCATGACCGTGTGGCCTCACCACATCGGCGTGGACTTTCGGGGGTCCTATGCGCTTGGCAATGGCAGAGGCCACATACTGGCTGGACGTTCTTCTCTGAGGCTTGAGAAATGTGACTTCTGCGGTGTGAGCTGCTGGCACCTTCACATGACCCATGCCCACAGTGGGCAGCTGGCTTCTCCTCTCCTCTAGGGGGTTCCGGCCCTCGTGGAGGGTAGACTGCTGCTGGAGCGATATTGGCTTGGGGTCTGCTTGGATTCTGCTCTCTGAAGGCTGCATCTGGGTGGGCACAGGGGTGGAGGGGGGTCCCCTGGCAGAGCTCTCCGAGGGCTGGCCCAGGTGTTTTTCCGTAGAGTTGGACCTCCAGAACTCTTTGACTTTCCCAATGGGCTGAGATTCTGCTTCAGGCACAGATGAAGACAGGGAAATGATCCTGATGGCGGTGGCATGGGGACTCACCAGGTTCCCCAGCTCATCAATCTTAATGGCGCCAGTGGAGAGGGACACGTCTCTGTCATAACATCGCATTTCTGACTTTGGAGGAATAATTTTATATGTTGTGAGGCCGTGCTTAAGTCCATAGCTTCT